TGGTACCCCCCCACCAAAAAAAAAACAGGCAGTAGCAATTAGAAGTAAAGAAGTAAGTTGCATCCTACACAAAGCAGAGATCTCCCCTGCATGGACAAATAATTCAACATGCAAATGCCCAGTGGCAGCAATGAAAACAATACACGCATTCTTAGATTGGCCATCACTGAAGAGCAATGGTACCTGAATGTGGAACTGGCAGAACACATTTTTTGTATAATATGATTAAAGCTTCTCCAGTCTGAGAATTGCCACAAGAAGGGAGATACGTATAGGTGGATCTATAATCTAATTCCCTTTGTAACTGAATCAACCTTCTCCCTCAATGCAAAGGGGCCTTTTAAAACATTTTCTCTCACCTCTCCCTTCTACCTGTCAGCATCACTTTGTTTTTGTTTTTTTGAGACAGGGTCTCTGTGTATTCCAGGTTAGCCTTGAACTCACTATGTAGCCCAGGCTGGCCTCGAACTTGCAGTGATTCTCCTGCTTCAGTCTCCCAAGTACTGGGATTATATGCATGTGCAAACTCACCCAACCAGCCTCACTTTTTGTCTGGTCACCTGTCAGGCTTACTGACAAGTACTCAGCATATATTACCCTGGGATACTCACAATGATGTGTGGCAGAAACCCTTATCCACAGTTCATAGAAGAAACTGGGACAAAGAAGTTAAAAAACTTTTCTAGGAGTGTGAGGACCAAGTTTCCAGGTCACGGTGGGCTCCATGCCCCTTACCCAGAATAGAGTAAATGCAAAAGTTCCTTTCTGAAAAATTCCATTCTATGTGGCAGTTTCTCTGTGCTTTGACAATTGCAGTTCCTCTTTTAGGGCATCTCCATCCTGCTTCTGTTCTTTTTAAGATGAGCTTCTTTTTATGCAATTTAATGAATATAGGAATTAAGTACAGTTGATATAAAAGCTTCTTTTTGGGTGATCTAATCAATATAGGAATTAGTTATAGCTGATATAGGAATTATAGTGGATATAGACAGTCATATATCTTAGTTAGCAAAAGTCAGAAAAGAGGAATTAATTGTCTAATGAAAAGAAGAATTAATTCTCTAAAGGCCTTCGGTAACTTTCCAATACGTACCCTCCCAGCACCCCATAATAAATTTGCAAATGTAAGCATTAGGTCATGTTCCAATGTGCCCTCCCGATGCCCCTTGATGACAAGGGAAAAATAAAAATAGTAACAGAAAAATACTATATAAACTTGGTTCAAAGTTGGATCTGGGCTCTCAGTCTGAAGCCGCTGTGATGGTGACACCTGAGAGTCCAGGCTCGAGCTTGCAATAAACTCCTCTTGCAATTGCATCAGACCTGACTCCTTGGTGGTCTTTGGGGGCTTCACGACTTGGGCACAACAGGAGCTAAGCATGGTGGCTTATACTGTACCTATAATCCCAGCTATTCAGGAGGCTAAGGTAGGAGGATTGGAAGTTTAAAGCCACCTGGGCAGTTTAGTGAGACTGTCTCAAAATAAAATTAAATTAAAAAGTAAAAAGCAGGGAATGCTCAGTAGTGGAGCACTTGCCTAGCATGTATGAAGCCCTATGCTCAGTTCTCAGTACAAAAAAAGAAGGAGAGAGGGGGTGGGGTGAGGAAGGGGAAGGGGAAGGGAGAAAAGAAAAAATCTCCAAAGTCACACAAGCTTTGGAACCACTGAACTAAATCTCTGGACCTGATTTTTTTTTTTTTTAATTATAGGACCTTCTTTATTTGTTTTTTAGGTAATTTCCTCATATATAATATCAAGGAGGGATTCGCTAGGATTTTGTGTTTATTCAATTCTAAGACACCATCAATTTTTACGTCTCATTTATTTATTTATGAACCACACAGGGTCTCACTATATAGTTCAGGCTGGTCTTGAACTCAGTATGTAGCCCCTCCAGCCTTGAACTCACAACCATTAAAACTCAGCTCCCAAGTGCTGGGGTCACCACAATACCCAGCTATTAATTTTATTTTTAATTGTGGCAATAAACACAGGTAAAATTTATTTTAAAGTGGTACTAAGTACATTTATACCGATTTTGGAAATATCACCATCATTCATCTGAAGAACTCTTTCTATCTTGTACAAGTCAAACGTTTCACCCTCATCTTCCCAGTTGCTCCTTCCTTTGGCCTTGGCAATCAGTCGTCTACTTTTTGTCTGTATGAATTTAACTACACTGGGTACCATATTAATGAAAAAGGAAGGAAGAGAGGAAGGAAGGGAAGACTGAATAAATTACAACTAAAATGTCTACATATTCTTATTTTAAAATGATAAACTATAAGCCGGGTGTGGCAGTACACGCCTGTAATCCCAGCACACAGGAGGATGGGCCAGGAGGATCACTGCAAATTTCAGGCCAGTGTGCACTACATAGTGAGTTCAAGGCCAGCCTGAACTACACAGTGAGACTGCACACTACATTAAATTGTAAGCATAAGACCCTCTACCAGTAGATTCTCAATGTTGGTTGAAGCTCTCTTTGGATTCTAACATTAAAGTCTACTGTTCAGTGACTATTTCATACTTGTGCCTTTATTATTCCAAACACCTGTTCCTGCTATTCTTCATGCTTTGCTTTTCGCCATCTTTCTTCTTTTATTCTTTCATTTTTCTGTGCTTAAGAAAACATATTTAATTGGGAAGATTTGGGAAAAGACCAGGGAATAGGTAAATAAATAAGTATAAATAAATTTAACAAATACCACACATTTCTCTCTCTAGATCCACATCTACTCTATTTTGTTATTATTTTTAATATGATTCACAGGTTCTGTAAAGCATTTGTCATTTTGTGGAGTCAAAATGTCAAATATTAAGACAGAAAATGACCAAAACTAGAAATCAACAACCTAGTAATTATCCATGGAGTAAATTTAAAACTTTAGTTCATTTGACTATATCTCATTTACTACAAATATAATTAATGAGCACCTACAGTATTCTAGGTATTATTCTAGACCATAGGAATACAGTGATTTTTTAAAAAATTTAAATGCAAAATTCTCCAATTTATAGCACTTTACATTCTGGTTGGAAAGACAGAAAATAAATGACATAAAAGTGACAAACACACACACACATAAATTAAACAAGAAAGAGTGGATGTGTGCAATTTTAGATGAGGTGGGAAGAGCCTCACACAGCATGACTTCTGAGTCAACAGCAAAAGGATGTGACTGAGGGAGAAAACTGGTTAAGGAGCTTTGCAGACTGAGAGTACAGCCATGCAGCACCCTCAGCCGAGGCCAGGCTGGGAACAAGTGGTCACCACGACAGTCTGTGAAAGACAAGTGACACGACCTAACTCACACTCAGACAATGGCACCATCATGGTTGCTGCCTTCCACCATGCTCAGAAATACTTCCACAGAACAGAGTAAGAAGCAGGAGTTAAGGGAAATGTCTTGAGCACAAGTCAGAAGTTCAACTCCAGGTCACCAGGTCACCTTAAGCTATGGCTACACTGTTGGCCTCTGGATACAGATTCAGAAAAGTTCTAGCAGAAGTAAGTTCCTTTCTCCCTATATTTCTGTATGCCAGGAAAACAAAGCAGTGAGAAAAAATAGAAATAGGCTAAAGAATATGTTAAGAAACACCAAATTTCAGATCATGAAGCAATTCCAAAGAAATTAACAAACATCTCTGGAGGAGACACAGAGATGATGTAAGGCATAACAATAAGATCGAGTACCTTTATCTGTTAAGATTGTGTAGCTGACTATGCCACCACTAAAAGAACACTGTCTCCACTCAGAGATGGAAAGGTAAACTGGGCATAGACACAGCACCTGGCAAAGGAATGGCTGAGGGTACCAGTGGCGGCGGAGGCGGCGGGGGGACAGCACATGAAAATGTAAGGTGTGCTACTGAGAAAGCAGCTTTCTCTGCTGATCATGACTCTTTCACGTCATTTTACTTAGTTTTTATATCAACACAATGAACTGATAAGCATACTCATGCGTCTTACTGACAACTATTTTTTAAAATTTACAAAATGTCACTATTTCTATCTTCTCCTTTGAATGAATCTGTTTCTGCGAGTATCTTTAAATTTCATGTGATCAAATATAAAAGCCATGGTATTTATCACTGTGCTGAAAGGAAGGAGAGATTGGCTAAATCAATTTTTTTTTCTTTTTTCTTTTTGGTTTTTTGAGACAGGGTCTCACTACGTAGTTGAGACTGACCTGGAACTCACTATGAAGCCCAGGCTGGTGTTGAACTCACAGCGATCCTCCTGCCTCAGCCTCCCGAGTGCTGGGATTACAGGTGTGCACCACCACGCCTAGACTGACCAAATCAATTTTTGAGATGAGTATCTTGTTCACTGCAAGAACATCACTTAGAACCCAAGTGTACAACCTAACATGAACACTGAAACTGAAATGAGTGTTACACGCCAGCAGACGGCACTTCATGTTAAATACTGCTACAAACTATTGCTTTTTGAGATGTCCACTCAGCATGCTTTCCATTTACAATTGCTACTGAGTCTTTTCTGGTCAACTTCGCATTACTATTAAGAAATAATCTATTATACACAAAGTTCTTTTACAGGATTGTTTTAAGTCACAGTAGGTCATGCAGACAGAAATCTGAAAGTAGGTCAATTTCTGCAGGCAGACTGAGACAACCTGTTGACACTCATAAAATACACACTAACAGTACCTTTTAAAAAAGTTACTTTCAGAGTCAAAAAGAATTGTAATTGAATAAAGAATAAAATAGAAGCAAACCAGTTATGCTGTAATCTATTTTTGGTTTGTTTTCTTAAAAAGCTATTGTACTGAGGGAGGGCAGGGACAAGGGGAAAAAATGAGAACTAAGACCTGTCTTGTAAAGGTACAAAATCCCAGTAACGAATGTAACTGTACTGTATACCTAAAATGTACCAATAAACTCAATAAAAAGAAAAAAAAAAAGCTGTTGTACTGAATTTTGGAATAAGCAACAAAAGACTGACAGCACAGACATATAACATATAGACATCTACCATTTGACTCTGAAGCCATTGAATAAGCATCTCTGCTGTTGAATCTGGGATCTGGCATCTCAAGCCTTCCTTCTCGTCAGTTTCCATCATCTCTAATAATCCACGTAGGTCTTCCACAAGGTGCAGAGCTCGCAAGCTTCCCATGAATGGAGAAGTGGGAGACTGACAATCAAAAATCCCATTGGAATATTCCAAGGCCTTAGAACCTAGATTTTTTTAAAAAAATCAGAGAACAGTAGGATTTACGTTAGATAAAATACTACAGCTATAGGAGGTAAACCAGTCTAGTCCTAGGAATAATGAAAACAAGGAATAGGAAAAAGATAATAACTGAGTCACGTAAATCTGTCCAAGTCATTGTTATTTCATGGAAAAATAAAACAATGGTCCATACCTAACAAAGGGGCCAACTGTGCATTATAAAAAGAAAAATATCCTGCTGGGATCTGGTGTGAGATGTGGTAGCCTCAAGAAATGATGAATAAGAATGTGGCAAATCAGGTCAGGTGGATCCATGCCTTCCAGAAAAATCATATGATGAGAGCTGTTATTTTAGAAAACAGATCGTGATGGTTTGAGGCAGAGGAACTACAGCAGGAAGCAAGATTCTTAAGAACATCAAGTGGGAGGGTGACTTGGTCACAGAGGTAACAGTAGCACAGGCAGGATGGATTCTAGACAAGACGAAAAGGAAAAGCAAAATCTGAGAGGAGGCAGAACTGGAATAACTTAAATAACTAAGTAGGAGACATGAAAAGAAAAAGGGTCTAGAATAATTTTAGTATTTGGTTTAGGAAATTATGGATGGAGGATTATGAAATGAACTGAAAAGGTCTCCCCGGAGAAACTTCTGAGGAAACACGATAAATTGAGTAATGGTGGGGGGGCTGTTATTGTTTTTGCAGTGCTATGGATGGAACCTAAGTCCTTATGTATGCTAGGCAAGTGTTCTACCACTGAGTTGCATCCTCAGACTTAAGCTCAATATTTTAAATATGACACTAATGTACCCACAGGACATTTCAGGAAAGAGATACTGTTGGCAATTAAGATAAGGACCAGCAGCTTAGCAAGGAATTGCGAAAGCAAACAGATCACTTATACTACCAGAACCACAAGAGGTACATATTCTTTATCCTTGATCTGAAACCTGGGCACAATTAGAATTTTTGATGTTTTAAAATAATTTTGGTAGAATTTTGGTAGAAATTAGAGAAGAGGAACAAAGATGAAACCATGGGAAACCGAAAGGCATTGGAAAATGGCAAAAAATGAGAACAAGAGAAAGAATGGAAAGGTAATAGGAGGGCAGCTATAAAAAAGTCAAGGGACCAGAGTAAGTATTTGGACTCCATCCTTTAGATTACCTGCTATAATGCCATCCATCTGTTCCAGGGCCGCAGCTAACATATCGCTTGCATCACTCATCATTTTCTTGTTTGTCAAGGGCAAATTTCAACCTAGATCTGAAAAAAAAAAAAAATGATGCTATCATTACCTGCTTTATGACGCATGATTTGTAGTGGGTTTGCTATATGAACCTCAAATTATAACTCCATTTAAAGTCCAATATATAGAAAGAGAACTTCAGTAGCAGTGGAGCTGAATTAACAGAATAACTTAATAAGCCATGGCAAATGACTTACTGTGCTGTAATATCACAGTCTATACCTGTGTCAGTTAATAAAAGAAGTAATTTAGTTCTTGCACTCCAGTGCCATAGAGGGCTAGGGTACAGCTCAGTGGTAGTGAGTTTGCCTAGCATGCACAAACTTCAATACATACATAAATAAAATCCAGTAGAATGGTTTCTATGCTGTACTCTTTAGGGCTCTAGGACAAGGAAGGGTATCAGGGAGGGCCATGAAAACGTGTTCAGTGTCACAAAAGATTCTGATGGAGAAGACTTCTTTCTTCCAATAAGCCCTACCCAAACCCTGCCCTTTTAATTTTGCTTTGCTTTTATTACATTTCTATAAAGAGTATACTACAAGATTTCTCTAGAAAATGGGTTTATATATATATTCACTATATACTGTTGTCCTTTGGCCTCTCTGTGGGGGATTGGCTACAAGACCTTCTTGGATACCAAAATCTACACATGTTCAAGGGTCTTATGGTATAGTATTGGCACAGATTGTAACCACATCCTCTTATATATTTAAATAGTCTCTATATTACTTATAATATTTACTGTGATGAAAATGCTATGTACAGTAAATAGTTATTAAGTTGTATTGTTTAGGGACTAGTGACTAGGGGAAAAAGTCTATACATGTTCAAAAAAGATGTAATTTTTTTGTGGGGGGTGGTATTGAGACAGGGTTTCTGCAGTTCAGGCTGGCCTTGAACACAGCAATGTTCCTGCCTCAGCCTTTCAAATGCTAGGATTATAAGGCATGCACCAAACACTTGGTCTGCAGTTGGTGGTATCTGTGGATATAAACGGCCAACCACACTATAATGCACGCACACATGTGCGCGCGCACACACGTGCGCGCACACACACACGCACACACTGCTACCTACTTGAGTGCCTACAGTGGTTCTTAGGTATTTACATAAATTACCCATAATCTTTAACCATGACAACCTGATAAAATGAATAAAACCATCCCTCCATTTTATAAGTAAGGGCTGAAGATGTTTGATATTTGCATGGAAACAGCAAGTAAGTTCAGCAAAGACTGCTTTTTAACTTAGGTCTGTCTAATTTCCATTATAATGGTGATTTTCTACTTGTCTGATCACATCTTAAGGAAAGATTTATTCTGAAATCATTTCATAATCCACTCACAGTTTTGCTTGTTATAAAATACATTAAAATTATACTTGCAAAAAATTTGGACACCTACAGGGAAAAAAACCAAGATGTTGTTATTTGCCAACATTAACTAATCCATTTTAGGGACCAGAGTGTTTATGTAGGTTGTCTCAACCAGCCTGAATACAGCCCCAGCCACTTCGCAGGTACTGAGGTACATTAATTAACCAGGAAGTACAGGACATACTGTTTAACAGAAACCTTTGCTCTCTGTTTCCAAGCAGTCAGATCTCACTAACCACTCTATTTTTGCAGATATAGTTATAGTTCACAGATACAGTTATATATCAGCTTTTTGGATAAGTTCTCTACTATGCATTTGTTCTACTAAATACCATACAGTTAGAATGAAATATTTATTTTGATAGCATTAACTTACAATAAGAGCAAGCAAGTGTTTATTTGATAAGCTAATTATTTCAAAATATTAGCAGTCTATACTTTGATTTTAGAGTAGTTTCATCTAAGGATTCTGTAGAACTTTACTTCAGAAGGTGAAAAATATCACTACCATTTTATGTGGAAATAATACAGTACAAAATAAACAAGATATATGTTTATAGTTAGCCAGAAACCAGGGGGGTCAACAAACCAGGTTATGAACCTAAGTACTTGTAAAAAATTGACACGCAACTTCAGAGAGTTCACAGTCCAAAGAAGTAAGACATGAATTTAATAACCATACACAGACTGGAAAATGAAAATCATGAGAACTGAAAGCATAAACAAGCAGAAGATACGAGCAATCCCTGAATATGATATAATTCAGTGGCTTGCTTTCCCCTTCCCTTTGAAAGTAGCCCCCGCACACACAATTACATATGTATGTATAAAACAAACACACCAAGTTCAGTTATAAACATAGGACTATCAATAAAAGAAATGTTCACCAGAGAAACACACCACCTCACTAAATTAGAAAACCAGATGTTCATCTTTTGTTAGCAGCTATATTGTGTAGTGCATACACATTGTTAAACCATTTCCCTGTGTTCTGGTCAGGAGCCTCTCAAGCGCTATGTCACAGAGGTGTGAGACAAGCTAGACCATACAACTGTCAGGGTGCTGAAGAACCAGTTTCTTGAAAAACTTCCAATTCACTAGACACTAACATTGTGATATAATAAAACAGCGACAGTATTTTAATTGCTATAAAAACTTATAAATGCTTCCTCACTGTGACAGTTAAGCAGGGTCATCAGTTGATTGACTTTAGTCACCCAAAGGATTAGTAAAGGGTCAGCCATAAAGCACACTTCTAGGTGTCCCTTCGGTGACAGTGGAGGTGGCCCTTCCTCTCTGGCACTGTTCCCCTGCTCTGCTTCCTGGCTTCCATGAAGTGAGCAGCTTTCCTCCACCATGATGCTCCTGCCTTAGAGCCAGCTGACTATGGACTGAATTCTCTGAAACCATGAGCTAAATTAAACCTCTTCTTTCTTAAGCTGTATGTGGCAGGTGTTTTATCTAGCAAATGGAAAGCTGAATAATACACTCTCAAGCTCTATATTTATCATGTAGCAACCTACATTTAACTGTTAAGGGGAAGACAGTAAGACATAAGTAATAAAAATGTGTAATATGACAAAGGTGGTAGATGCTAAGGTAGAAAACATGGAGCATGATAAAGGAGTCCAGAGCCCGAGGGGTTTGCAAATTAAACAGGTGGTCAGTGGTCAGTCATAGTCAAAGACCAAATATCTTTCTAATGAATTAAAAATAACTAAATATAAGTGGTCTAGAGTTCAGTGGTATACCAATTATGGAACTCCCAAAAGTCAACAAAAAATGACAGGAGTGAAGACATAAATAGACATTTAGAAGAAAAGTAATTACTTTCAAACAATAAATAATATGAAGAGATGCTTAATATCATTAATAACCGGAGAATTTGAAACACCATGATACTGCTTTATTATTTGTCAATGAAAAAAAAATACTACCAAGGGTTGTAGAGGATGTGGATTCACACAGACTCTTATAGAATAGTAATAGGATTATAAAGTGGTTGAATCACTTTGAATAAGAATATATTACCATCTAAAATTATATATCATATTCATTTTTCACAGTAATATTTTCTCTAAAGTATATAACCCATAGCTAAATGCAAATATTCAAAGAGGGAATCTTTACAAGAATACAACCCCAACTGTCCATTAACAGAAGAGGGGATAAATAAGCCGTGGTACAATCATGCAGTAGCATGACACCCAGTTTGGAGCTCCACTAAAGTAATATATGTGTAATATGGGTAAATCAATGCAATTTAACAGTAAGTTTAAAAAGTAAATAAATTCAGTTAAGATAAGTTAAAAGTAACTTAATATATGTATTTATTCAGTTGTAATATGCACGTATCAGCTAACTGATATACTGTATGTATCTATTTGTATTAGAAATACCAATCCAATCCAACTATACAAGAAGAAAAAAAGGGAATGGCAATAAGGTTAGTAATAAGCTTTAGACTGGAGTAGTGAATTGAAAAGTAATTAAAAGTATTTTTTGAAAAAGTTGGAGAGTGACTAGATACAGGCAGAAAATGGGAGGGGATTCAGCTTGAGAAGAGGGAGTCATCACAAGTACTAAGATTCACAGCTCTATCCTGTAAGTATCGGAAATCCTGTGATACAGGCACCTGCCAGGACTCATGGGGAGAAATGCAATCTCACTGGCTTAAGTAACAGAAGGAGGTAAAACTACATTATACATAATGATGTTCAGTTCTAATGAATGCTAGACTACATTAAGAATAAAGCATGTAATCCACTAAGACTATAAAATAGAGATGAGTCAGTTTAACTGATGAAAAAGAATACAAATAAAGTCTTCGTATTATTAAATCCAGAAGAAATGTACATTGTAATGAACAACGAATGAAAAAAAGAGAAAACTCAAAATCCAAGATAGTAGACTTAAACCATGTAAATAACTACACTGGATATACATGGAATAAAACTAGTAAGAACCAGACATTATTAGACTAGTTTTCTAAAAAAAAAGACTATATCCCATTAATAGAAAGAATTGTACTTAAAATACAAAAAATATAAAAGTAAAAGGATGAAAAATGTGATATCAGCACATGGCATGCATAGGAAAGCAGAAATGAGCCTGTGAGAGAAACAAATTCTTGGTTTTCAGTGGTAGGGATTAAATTCAAGTCTTTTGCATGCTAAACACATGCTCTATCACTGATCTACACACTCAGCTCTAAAAATAATTTCAAATAAAGCAGAAAAAAATGATAAAGTTAAAAAAAAATCTGTACTGTTTTGTTTGAGATAAGTTCTGCCATGTTACCCAGACAGACAGTGAACTCTGAGCTCACTGATTCTGCTGCCTACCAGGATCCTGAGTAGCTTCACCCAAAGGCATGAACCACTGTACCCAGCAGGAATATTTATAGGGATAAGAGTTAATTTACACCTAGGTGTGGTGGTGTGCTCCTATGATCCTAGCACTCAGGAGGCTGAGGAGAAAGTCTGGTGAGTTCAAGGTTAGCCAGGCTACATAGTGATTCAAAATAAATAAAAAGACCAACAAATAAATTATTTTAAAAGGCAGGGGATATAGTTCAGTGTAAAGACCCTGGGCTCAATTCCTAGTACTACCCAAACAAACAAACAAAAACAAAAACTA